ATCGACTGGGAAAAGACTCTCCAAGCAACAAACTGCTCTATGCCAAGGACATCCCCAACTACAAGACCTGGGTGGAGAGGTGAGTGTTTCTGGAGAAAGTTCGTGTAGAATAGCTTCTACCATGCTCACTATGCCTCGGGTGTAGCCATATTGCTCCCCCTCGGCGAGTCAATGATTTCTCAGGAGATACAGCCAGCCGTATGTTATGGTAAAGTAGAATCTCTCCAATGTACAAAGTACAGGCCCAGAAATATCGGTCAAAGCTAGTGAATAGCTCTCCTGTAGACACAGGTACCAGAGGAGTATTTTGTCCACTCACCCAGAATGAAGTTGAGAGGGTGGCTCAGTTATTTGAGACTAGGCCATATTTCTGTGTTACTAGTAACGGCAGACTTTTTTATTCAGATCCTGTCATCCGTCTACAGTCAGCCGCTTTTTGGAAATGTTTAGATTTTTTACAGAATCTTCAATTTTCTGGGATTTGTCTGTCTATTATAATCTTTTTATTTTATTTTTTCCTCTTTTTGGTTGGTGAGGAAAAGAGTGATTTAGTTTGCAATTTTTTTGGTTGTAAATCAGATTCTAGTAAACATCCAAATATGGTGAATAATACTTTAAACGAGCAAACTTGGCAGACGGTTGGCATGTCCATATGGAAGACTGGTTATCCAGATAAGATTGGGCTCTCTGGTCAGTGATGGAGCAGCATCCAATCCCACTTTCCCTGCGTTTCTCCTGTTCAGGTATTACAGAGACATCGGCAAGATGGCGGCCATCAGTGACCAGGACATGGATGCCTACCTTGTGGAGCAATCCCGACTGCATTCCAACGAGTTCAACTCATTGAGTGCACTCAGTGAACTCTACTTCTATGTGAATAAGTACCGGGAAGAGGTCAGTGCCACTGCTTCTAATATGTTCTTGGCACATGTGGGGTGGTGTAGAATGTCCTTCCTAAAATCACACTTACTATAAAAATGTAAAATAAGTAATAATTCTGAGAAAAATGCTAATGTTTGCTACCCCACTGTCCTCAGCGGCAACCGTTCCCATAGCTACCCCACTGCCCTCAGCGGCAGCCGTTGACATAGCTACCCCACTGTATTCAGCAGCAGCCGCTCCCATAGCTACCCCACTGCCCTCAGCAGCTACCCCGCAGCAACCCCTGCTGCCCTCAGCGGCATCCCTTCCCATAGCTACTCCGCTGCCCTCAGTGGCAGCCCTTCCCATAGCTGCCCTCAGCGGCAGCCCTTCCCATAGCTACCCCGCTGCCCTCAGCGGCAGCCCTTCCCATAGCTACTCCGCTGCCCTCAGCGGCAGCCCTTCCCATAGCTACCCCGCTGCCCTCAGCGGCAGCCCTTCCCATAGCTACCCCGCTGCCCTCAGCGGCAGCCTTTCCCCTAGCTACCCCGCTGCCCTCAGCGGCAGCCGCTCCCATAGCTACCCCGCTGCCCTCAGCGGCAGCCGCTCCCATAGCTACCCCGCTGCCCTCGGCGGCAGCCGTTCCCATAGCTACCCCGCTGCCCTCGGCGGCAGCCGTTCCCATAGCTACCCCGCTGCCCTCGGCGGCAGCCCTTCCCATAGCTACCCCGCTGCCCTCGGGGCAGCCCTTCCCACAGCTACCCCGCTGCCCTCGGCGGCAGCCCTTCCCACAGCTACCCCGCTGCCCTCAGCGGCAGCCCTTCCCATAGCTACCCCGCTGCCCTCGGGGCAGCCCTTCCCATAGCTACCCCGCTGCCCTCGGCGGCAGCCCTTCCCACAGCTACCCCGCTGCCCTCAGCGGCAGCCCTTCCCACAGCTACCCCGCTGCCCTCAGCGGCAGCCGTTCCCACAGCTGCCCTCAGCGGCAGCCGTTCCCACAGCTACCCCGCTGCCCTCAGCGGCAGCCGTTCCCACAGCTAACCCGCTGCCCTCAGCGGCAGCCGTTCCCATAGCTGCCCTCAGCGGCAGCCCTTCCCATAGCTACCCCGCTGCCCTCAGCGGCAGCCGTTCCCATAGCTACCCCGCTGCCCTCAGCGGCAGCCCTTCCCATAGCTACCCCAGCTGCCCTCAGCGGCAGCCCTTCCCATAGCTACCCCGCTGCCCTCAGCGGCAGCCCTTCCCATAGGTAACCCAGCTGCCCTCAGCGGCAGCCCTTCCCATAGGTAACCCAGCTGCCCTCAGCGGCAGCCCTTCCCATAGGTAACCCAGCTGCCCTCAGCGGCAGCCCTTCCCATAGGTGCCCCGCTGCCCTCAGCGGCAGCAGTTCCTATAGTAACTATGGTTGTGTAAGGGTGTGTAGAGACACTGGCTAATAGTTAAAATAAAGCTGGTGTGACTTTGAGAATTGAAAGATTAAATGTTGGTGTCTGGTGTGTAGATCTGTCTACTTTGTTGTCTTTTCAGATTCTAACTGCAATGGACCGGGATTCCTACTGCCGGAAACACAAACTGCGCCAGAAACTGGAGCAAGTTATTAACATGGTATCGAGTAACAGCTGAGTTGGAAGAGGCTGTTGCACCCCTTATTCTCTTGGTCCAACCTCATTTCCCAAGGACCCCAAGATGAGCCAAAAGCGTATCGGTAGCAGCTGATTTGTTGTCTGAACTACTGTTGCATTACCAGGAGAGGGGAGCGTGCCATGCAGTGGCAGAGACTTCATGGAATTATCGATGTGAGACAGCTCATGCCAGACTTTTACACTATCCCAGGGTTTGGTAGCGGCCGCAGCTCTGCACGAGGTGCCTTGTGCTTAGTGTCTGGGATCCCTGCCATAACCCCATCCGCTAGGCCCCCTGCCCATGTATTTGTAAAGCCATAGAATCCAGAGGGATGTCCCACTATCTGACTGCACTATTGTTACCCCAGCTCCTGCTGCTCTTGTGACATTGTCGTTCCCAGTCCGATCCTATCGTTGGGAGGCAGCCTGACATTTCCTGTTAATAGCTGTGGTGAGGGTCTCCCGTGATTAGACTTTGTGGTAGATAGGGGGGACTCTTGTATGTCCTGTGCTAAAATGGCTGGTTTATTCCAATTTTGTGCCATGCAATATTAGTGCTCATTTTTGCTGAGAAAGTTGAGTGATTGGGGCGAGTGGCTAATGGTTTTTTAATTTTTTTTTTTTTTTAATACACCCCTGCCCCCACACACAATAATTCATAAAGCTATAGATTGCAGCTCACACTGGGAATCAAAGGGTTAAATGCGTGTTCCAGGTTCTGGTATCTAGACCTTGGTTTTTATTTTATTTATTTAACTTATTTTTGTCCCTTTGCTGCAGGCTGTGCTGTATTTTACATATATATTTATGTGTGAGTGTGTTATGTTCTAATCTGTAATGTGTGTGCGTGGAAGGATGTTGCAGGTCATTTCATTTTGTAAACACGCAAACACACACATTTGATTGGTTTTTACATAACGAGCTGCAGCTGGCGTGTCCTCCATGTGTTTCCCCCGTTCTGTCCATTGATGATGCCTGATTGAGTGTGTTGGCTAGTGCCAGGTACTACGTGGCTGCTTGCCGTGTGTACAGGGTTTGGTGTGACTTTCTCTGGTGTCTGGAGAGGCTGTGCTGGCTGTTTCATCATACACAAACCAAAGCCTATAGTAAAAGCAATAACTTTATATGCTAGCCCCACACGAGACATCACACGCTCTCTCTCATTGTACACGTAAATTACACGCCATCTGTCATTGTACACGTAAATTACACGCCATCTGTCATTGTACACGTAAATCACACGCCCTCTGTCATTGTACACGTAAATCACACGCCATCTTTCATTGTATACGTAAATCACACGCTATCTGTCATTGTACACGTAAACCCCACACGAGACATCACATGCTATCTGTTTTTCTTTGCTAGCTCCTACAAGTGCCATCTCGTGTTTTTGGTATGTGTACACACTAACCCACATGTGACTTTACATGCTAACCAGACACATAACATCACAATGCTCGATTTATCTCACATGTATGCACTGTATCTTTACTAACGTGTGCAGTCACATATTAATCTGCTATGTGTGATTTCTCCACATGTGCATACACACATGCATGCAGTATCCCATCTGATTTTCTAACATGTGGAGTCGGACGCATGCGCTGCGTACTCTGTTCTCACTCCTGGAGTCGGAAGCTGGCGCCGCGTAGTCGATGCTCACACGTTGTCTGTGAAATGCTATGCCCACTCGTGGATTCACATACACACGCTAGTTGTAGGTTTTACCACTAATGTTCATATCCCTGCTCCTGGGGAGGATGGTTTCTGACTGCCAAACTATAAACATTCCATAGAACTGGGTGATTTTGGCTAAATGGGGCTGAATTACACAGTGTGTGTGTGTGTGTGTGTGTGTGTGTGTGTCTCTGACAATCCCTCTCACAGGGACCAGTAAATCTTGCAGCTCCCACAGGGTGACTCTGTAAATATGTAAATACATATATTTGTGTACTTATTTTGTAAATTTGTGCCACTGTGTGTTTTCTCCCTATCCCCTTCATTATACTGCTTAACCCTTTCACTATCAGAGGGTTTTACTCATTTTCGCAAAGAACAAGTCAACATATCTTAACACCTTTTCTGCTGGAACAAAATATGATTGGTTACACTACAATGTGATCTTGTCCAGCGTCAGAGGGGTTACAGTCTCGACCATACCAAGCGGTTTAGGTGCCTTAGCTACATATTTCACTCCGTAGGACCTGCCACATCCCTGCAGATACAAGTGACACGTGACACGCAGGGTCTATGGGATTTCTTAGCACTTTATGTCCAAGGTGACAGGATCCACTACTGTGAGCATGGCTTTTATTTCATCATGTTCTTTTGCAAAATAAATGATTCTAAATTCAAGTTAGTTTCTGTTCATTTAAAGAAAAATAAGTTTTCTTTGTCCGAGTATAACCACTTCAATGAGATAAAATGGTTACAGTGCCTACAGTGACCCTTTAAGGAAAATGGCAAATGGGGGTCCTGGACTGAGGTGTCTGTCCACAAATAACATGGCGCGGTAGGTATTTGAAAAGATCAACTAATTTATTCTTGAATAAAAGAAAACATTAGTTTAATGTGGGTTCTGTATTGTGTAGTGTTATCCCGCCATCTAGTTTTAAAACAGAAGTTGTGCCCCCAAAAAAAAAAGTTTGATTATACTGGCTGGTGGGCTTCTTGGAATGGCAGGTGGGCCGCGTGGTGGACTTCTTGGAATGGCAGGTGGGCCACGTCGTTGGCTTCTTGGAATGGCAGGTGGGCTGCGTCGTTGGCTTCTTGGAATGGAAGGTAGGCCCCGTGGTGGGCTTCTTGGTGCTGCAGGTGGGCTTCTTGGAATGACAGGTGGGCCTCGTGGTGGGCTTCTTGGAATGGCAGGTGGGCCGCATCGTTGGCTTCTTGGAATGGAAGGTGGGCCCCGTGGTGGGCTTATTGGTGCGGCAGGTGGGCCTCGTGGTGGGCTTCTTGGAATGGAAGGTGGGCTCCTTGGTATGGCAGGTGGGTCACGTGGTGGGCTTCTTGGTATGGCACGTGGTGGGCAGATGGGCTGCTTAGGTTGTCACACTAGTGGCTCAGATGATGTGGGGTATGAGGGCAGTTTGATTAGCAGAAGGGGGAGCTAGGATTGCTGCAGTTCTGGGAATGATTAGGGAGATGCGGTCAGCTGGTACATGTGAGTTGTGTGACAACCTGCCATGAATTCTTGGATGGCTTCTACCTCTGGCCGCCTTATTGAGGTTACCTTGAAGAGAAATGCGTACAGTGCTTATGGTATCTGGAGTGTTCTTTTGACATGGTGAGGTGTAGCGGTCTCCTGACTCGGCTCTGTCTGCTCCACCCCTAATGGTAGTCCTTAAACAGTTCACAGAATGGAGTAATTCTGAATGTACAATAAAGAGATACATATGCATTACACAGTGCTGAGCATAATACAGAGACCCCCACACAATCGCACAGTACATGTCTCTGTATATTGCTCCAGCTCTCCCGTCTCATCTGGTATTAAATATTGCTGCAGGTATAAAACATGTCAGCTACTCCATTAGCTCTCCGCACGTATTGTACACAGGGTTAAAGCTACAAAATACTGATAGACTCCTTATTACGCACAGTGTACACAGGGTTAAAGCTACAAAATACTGATAGACTCCTTATTACGCACAGTGTACACAGGGTTAAAGCAGCAGCATACTGATAGATTCCTTATTACACACAGTGTACACAGGGTTAAAGCTACAAAATACTGATAGACTCCTTATTACGCACAGTGTACACAGGGTTAAAGCTACAAAATACTGATAGACTCCTTATTACGCACAGTGTACACAGGGTTAAAGCTACAAAATACTGATAGACTCCTTATTACGCACAGTGTACACAGGGTTAAAGCTACAAAATACTGATAGACTCCTTATTACGCACAGTGTACACAGGGTTAAAGCAGCAGCATACTGATAGACTCCTTATTACGCACAGTGTACACGGGTTAAAGCAGCAGCATACTGATAGATTCCTTATTACACACAGTGTACACAGGGTTAAAGCTACAAAATACTGATAGACTCCTTATTACGCACAGTGTACACAGGGTTAAAGCTACAAAATACTGATAGACTCCTTATTACGCACAGTGTACACAGGGTTAAAGCTACAAAATACTGATAGACTCCTTATTACGCACAGTGTACACAGGGTTAAAGCTACAAAATACTGATAGATTCCTTATTACACACCGTGTACACAGGGTTAAAGCAGCAGGATACGGATATAATCCTTATTACACACAGTGTACATAGGGTTATAGCAGCAGGATACTGATAGATTCCTTATTACACACAGTATACACAGGGTTAAAGCAGCAGCATACTGATAGATTTCCTATTACACACGGTGTACACCGGGTTAAAGCAGCAGGATACTGAGAGACTGCTTATTACGCACAGGGTTAAAGCAGCAGGATACTGATAGACTTCCTATTACACACACCGTACACAGGGTTAATGCAGCAGGATACAGAGAGACTTTATTACACACACTGTACACAGGGTTAAAGCAGCAGGGTACAGAGAGACTCTTTATTACACACACTGTACACAGGATTAAAGCAGACTGATATAATCCTTATTACACAAAGTGTACACAGGGTTATAGCAGCAGGATACTGAGAGGTTCCTTATTACGCACAGTGTGCACAGGGTTATAGCAGCAGGATACTGAGAGACTCCTTATTACGCACAGTGTGCACAGGGTTAAAGGAAAACTCCAGTGCCAGGAAAACAATCCGTTTTCCTGGCACTTTAGGTCCCCTTTCCCACCCACCCCCAATCCCCGGTTGCTGAAGTTACTTACCAGAGGCAGCGACATGTCGCTGCTTCTTCCTCCGCCACCGCTCCTCCCAGTGATTACGTCAGCCGGTGGGCGAGGCAATGCCGCGCATACGCATTAGAGCTCCCCATAGCAAAACATTGAAAATGCTTTCCTATGGGGAATTGAGCGACACTGGAGGTCCCCACACAGCGTGAGGACGTCCAGCGACGCTCTAGCACAGGTTTTCTGTGCTATGATGCAGGAAGTGCCCTCTAGTGGCTGTCTAGTAGACAGTCACTAGAGGTGGAGTTAACCCTGCAAGGTAATTATTGCAGTTTATAAAAAAAAAAAAAAAACTGCAATAATTACACTTGCAGGGTTAAGAGTAGTGGGAGATGGCACCCAGACCACTCCAATGGGCAGAAGTGGTCTGGGTGCCTGGAGTGTCCCTTTAAAGCAGCAGGATACTGATAGACTCCTTATTACTCACAATGTGCACAAGATATTGAGACTCATTATTATTATTATTATTATTGGTATTTATATTGCGCCAGCATATTCCGTAGCGCTTTACAATATTATCAAAGGGGGGAATTTAACAATAAATAAGACAATTACAAAAACTGACAGGAACAATAGGTTGAAGAGGGCCCTGCTCAAAAGAGCTTACAGTCTATACAAACAGTGTACACAGGGTTAGTGTGATACAATCTATCAAAGGAGTGGGTGGAGGTGGTAGAGAACTCACTCGATCAGTGGTCCCCAACCTTCTTTCACTTGTGTACGTTTTTGCAGCCCATTTCCATAAACTGTATCCCTCATATTGGTTAAATGTTTATAATTATTATAGTTACCGATATTTCAAATGTCTGCATTTCTCTCTGCCCAATTTCACCTTTTTCTCTGCCCCAAGCTCTCCCTCTGTCCCAGGCTCTCCCTTGCGTCTCTTCTGACCCAAATAAGTATATGTATGTGTAATGATATACTTACACACATATAGACACACACACTGACAATCATGCAGATACACAGATACTGACACAGAAGCACATACACACACAGACACAAACACTGACACACATACAGACATAGATACAAAAACTGACACACATGCAGATACACAGACACAAACACACTGACCTACAGATGTACTCATACAGATGCACAGATACAGAATACTGACACATACAGATCTACAGGCACACGGATACATACACTGATACAAACAATGCCACACATGCAGATACATTCAAACAAACACTGACACACATACAGCTGCAAAGACTAAAACACACACATACAGGTCAAAATTTTAGCCACCTTATAGTTTCTTGCCTTTCTGGTGCTGGAGGGTGGCTTTTGCTGGAGAGCTGGGGGCTTGCTCCCCCGGTTTCCAGCCCCCACCCCCTCTTTCCACACGGCTCGGTCTGCATATCTCTCTTCAGTGTAGAAGGTGCCCGATCTCGCTTTTAAAGCACACACTCTATACCCTTTATAAATCATATAGATAGTATACCTGGCATAGATAATGTACACAATATAGACGTGGTATACACCGCACACTCTTTATACTCTGTATAAATCATATACATAGTATACCTGGCATAGATAATGTACACAATATAGACGTGGTATACACCGCACACTCTTTATACTCTGTATAAATCATATAGATAGTATACCTGGCATAGATAATGTACACAATATAGACGTGGTATACACCGTACACACTCTATACCCTGTATAAATCATATAGGGGAACATTTATTCATACTTACAGTAATTTTCTTATCCTGGTTATTATTAATGGCAGCATATACGTATATGGGTTAGCTCCTCCCCTTTCAGCCGATAGGACAGGGAAAAAAACACCAAAGACTTAAAAGGAGACTCCAGTACTAAGGTCTTCAGTCCGTAACAAGCGCTACAGTAAGAAAAATCCACACATTAAACCGGGTGGGCCGTATAGGCTGCCATGACTAATAGCCAGTAAAAGAAAATCACGGTAAGTATGAATAAATGTTCCCCTTTCCTGGCTAATCATGGCAGCCTATCCGTATATGGAAATACCCAAACATCAAATAAAGGGAGGGACCAGCATAAAGTAGAATGCAAAATATGCTTATTAAATAGTTAGAAAATGATTTCAATGAGGACATTTCGTCCAAACTGATCGTCCGAACAGATCTAACGTCCATGTTGTAATGGTTGATGAGTGTATTTAGAGAGGACCAATTGCCAGCTTTGCAAATTGAGTCACAGTAGCCCAAGATGCTGCCACAGCACGTGTGGAATGAGCCCTAATAGCCTTGGAAATAGCAGCTGTTACCCACTGTCATAACGTGGAGGTAGATGCCACTTCACCCCTTCTGTGACCTATCGGTAAAATAAAGAGTCTGGGGGATCTCCGGAATTTGCCTGTTCTTTCTATATAGATAGAGCTCTCACCACATCGGTCTTCCGAAATTTGGGACTTTGGCAGTTTCCTAACCCTACCTCAAGACTACCCCTATCCCCAACCTTCCTCTAACCCTTCGCCTAAACTTTACCCTAGTAGGGGTAGGGTTAGAAGTAGGGTTAGATTCCTGTCATCATTCCCTTAATTTTCCCTCCCTCTCCTGTTTTGCCACTTTTCAGAAATCCGAAGCACTTTGGCACTCCCGAAATTCAAAAGCATCCAAATGCCCAAATTGCCAAAATTCATCCGAATTTAAATTCGGACAGAAACAAATTGCACATGTCAAATACCAATATATTCGGGGCCAGTACAAACCATTATCTGGAAATCTATTCATAAACAGGGTTATACATAGGACATAAGGTCACACATTTAGGCTGGAAGAAAGGAGATTTAATCTAAGGCAAAGAAACATTTTTTATTTTTTTTAATAAGAACTATAAGGAGGTGGAATTATTTGCTTGAAGAGGTGGTTTTATCATTGTCCATACAGATGTTTAACCCCTTCCTGACTTCTGATGTACTGGGTACGTCCAACAAAAAACGGCCATTAATGACCACGGACGTACCCAGTACGTCCACGCCAAATCTGACCTATGTACTTATATGAACCAGTGATAGCGATCGGGGGTGAATGACCAAGACCCCCGCAGTCCCCCAGCAGCAGCAGCTCTGTCCACCATGGCCCTCCAGGGCCATGCGATCAACATGATCACATGGCCGCAATAGCAGTCTATGGAGCGGCCAGCAGGGGGACTGTCTGAACTGGGCAGTCCCCCTGACAGCTAAAAGTGTAAAAAAAACAACAAATTTTTTTAATAAAATGAATATTATACATATATTAGTATAATATATTATACATATGATTGCGTTCTAAATGTACTTTGAGATATATGTCAAAATACACTTCTAATGTAATGAGATATATGCATTATATATATAATATAAAATGCTTTAATTATTTTATAATATATTATACATATATACGAAATAAAAAACCGTATGGGTATATACACTGAACACAATTATAAACACATCACTTATGTTTTTGCCCCCATTTTTCATGAGCTGAACTGAAAGATCTAAGACTTTTTCTATGTGCACAAAAGGCCTATTTCTCTCAAATATTTTTCACAAATCTGTCTAAATCTGTTAGTGAGCACTTCTCCTTTGCCGAGATAATCCATCCACCTCACAGGTGTGGCATATCAAGATGCTGATTAGACAGAATGATTATTGCACAGGTATGCCTTAGGCTGGCCACAATAAAAGGTCACTCTATTGCATGGCTGTTGTCCCAGGAAGTCTCTTCTAAAGATGATGCACAAGAAAGCCCACAAACAGCTTGCTGAAGACCAGCAGATTAAGGACAATGATTACTGGAACCATGTCCTGTGGTCCGATGAGACCAAGATAAACTTAATTGGTTCAGATGATGTCAAGTATGTGTGGCGGCAACCAGGTGAGGAGTACAAAGACAAGTGTGTCCTACCTACAGTCAATCATGGTGGTGGGAGTGTCATGGTCTGGGCCTGCATGAGTGCTGCCAGCACTGGGGATCTACAAAAAAAAGTTACCTGCGCTCTTTCCACATCCCTATGTATTTTTAAACAAATGGAGGTTTTTAGTTACCTCCAATGGCCATGAGAGGGTATGCCCACCTGCCACATCAAGGCAGACCTCTTAAGTGGGTCCTAACTCTAACCATTCGCCTTGCTTCCTTGAGATTCTGGCAAAAATATCTACTTTTACTTTTTATATACATCCCTACATGCTTATTAACCCTTAATAGGGAACACATGGGATGGGCAGCAGCATTGCAACCTAGCTGTGTGATACAAAAGTGAATCCAAATACAAAGAAACTAGTCCTGCGCTCAAACTCCTATTACTCCTGGGCGGCAGCAACGACCATAGTACACATCAGTTAGATATTAGAGTAGGACCCACCTAAGAGGTCTGCCTTGACGTGGCAGGTGGGCATACCCTCTCATGGCCATTGGAGGTAACTAAAAACCTCAATTTGTTTAAAAATATATAGGGATGTGGAAAGTGCGCAGGTAACTTTTTCTTAGTAGAGATAACACTTTACAGAGTAAGGTGTGTGGAGTCCAGGAGCTAGCTTTATATTGCAAGATAAAAGATTTTTAAAGACACCGTACCCACATATAGATTTGTTTTACATATATTTTATATATACTTTCATATACTTTTATTCTCAATATTTTCTACATACATCTATAAGCTTTTACACCTGATAATCTATCAATTAACTTGAATCCTCTATACCAGCTAGCTCCTGGACTCCGCACACCTTACTCTGTAAAGTGTTATCTCTACTATTTCTTTTGTATCACACAGCTAGGTTACAATGCTGCTGCCTATCCCATGTGTTCCCTATTAAGGGTTAATAAGCATGTAGGGATGTATATAAAAAATACCCCTTTCTGTCTTAGAGATATTTTTGCCAGAACCTCAAGGAAGCAAGGCGAATGGTTAGCGTTAGGACCCACCTGCCTTGATGTGGCAGGTGGGCATACCCTCTCATGGCCATTGGAGGTAACTAAAAACCTCCATTTGTTTAAAAATACATAGGGGTGTGGAAAGAGCGCGGGTAACTTTTTTTTTTTTCTTTTGGTTTTTACTCTATGTATTTTGGCTGATGTGTACTATGGTCGTTGCTGCCGCCCAGGAGTAATGGGAGTTTGAGCGCAGGACTAGTTTCTTTGTACTGGGGAGCTACAGTTCATTGAGGGAACCATGAATGTCAACATGTACTGTGACATACTGAAGCAGAGCATGATCACCTCCCTTCGGAGGCTGCGCCGCAGGGCAGTATTCCAACATAACGACCCCAAACACTCCTCCAAGACGACCACTGCCTTGCTAAAGAATCTGAAGTTAAAGGTGATGGACTGCCCAAGCATGTCTCCAGACCTAAACCCTATTTAGCATCTGTTGGGCATCCTCAAATGGCAGGTGGGGGAGCGCAAGGTCTCTACAATCCACCAGCTTCGTGATGTCATGGAGGAGTGGAAGAGGACTCCAATGGCAACCTGTGAAGCTCTGGTGAACTCCATGCCCTGAGGGTTAAAGCAGTGCTGGAAAATAATGGTGGCCACACAAAATATTGACACTTTGGGCCCAATTTGGACATTTCCACTTAGGGGTCTACTCACATTTGTTGCCAACGGTTTAGACATTAATGGCTGTGTGCGGAGTTATTTTGAGGGGACAGCAAAGTTACACTGTTATACAGGCTGTACGCTTACTACTTTACATTGTAGCAGAGTGTCATTTCTTCAGTGTTGTCACATGAAAAGATATAAAATATTTACAACAATGTGAGGTGTATTTTTGCCCTCTTTTACAGACCTACCCAAACATCGGTTCCAGCACACCACAACCGACTTACACCACCATTACTATAATTCGGCTTAATTTATACGACCACAAATAATATATAATATATATATATATATATAGTAAATGTTAAAAAAATTAATTTTATATTTATATATTGTTTGATTGATCCTCGTTAGATCCCAGGATCTAGTATTTACATTATTCATTTCAGCTCATTTGACTAGCCTTTATTAGTTTTAATTCTTGGTTAGGATGGTATACTTACCTAATACTTATACCTGTATTCTGTATTTCATCTCTCCCACACATATGTTATTTCCATATACAAACTGTATTGCCGGAGTCTTTATGCTGTTTACCAACATATATATGTTACATTGGTTTAGACTGTAGCCACCTGTCCTATGATATGTCTATTGTATATTTGTATGGGAATGTCCCACATTATTATTGTTGTTTATTCGTAGCATGGATTGCAATGTATTTGCTCTGTTTTGCTAGCTTAGTAGAATTAAGTTTAGATTATAGAATATTTCTGCATCTTGATCTTGCTGCCTTAGGTTGATGGGGGTTACACTGTTTGTTTGACTTCATTTTCACCCATGTCGTGGATATTTGATCCCTGTCCCGGGGAGCAATACATATCTTGATGCAGTCTGTCCTCCATAGTTCTTTTCTTATCCTTTATAATTCTTTTCGTTTTTATTCACATTTCATTCACCCATACTCACATGTCACTGCACAGTAGAGCCGTCCCTCGTCAGTTGTTGTAGTGTCACCTAGCAACTGCACAGAGGGTGTAATGCACGTAGCACATCATGGAGGAGTCACGTGTCCTGCTTGAGCACTTCCAAGTTCAGGTACACAAAGGAGCATCACTTTGGATAGGTAAGTCACTGTAATTTCACTGTGTATATATATATTTGTGTTAGGTGCTCATGATAGTACAGAGTAAAATACCATAATTAAATGTAGGATAGTAAAAAAAGGGCAAGTCGGTTGTGGTGTGCCGGAACCGACGATAAGGTAGGCCTGAGAAAGAAGAGGGCAAAAATTAAGTAATCAAATTTATTACAGACAACCAATACAGATACATATATCAACCAGACATGTTTTTGAAAGCATCCCTTAATTCTTGTACTGGGTTCGGTATGTATCGTGAGTAAGCGGATGACTTCCAGCGCCCCAGTGTTTTTATAACATGAACTGGAATGTTGACACTGGAGGCTGTGGACGCTGCTCCTATGAGGAAGGAGTGCCCTGAGTAGTAAGCTGCTTTGAGGCCCAGTTGAGTGAGCAAAGACCTGACGTAGGTCATGAAGGTTGTAGTGGTGAGTACCGAACTTTGTAATAGTATTAATGGTTGTGATGGTATTGAAATATGATGCTATAGGTATGCATCCAGAACCTTTGCGGGGCACCACTTGTGCGTGGGGTAATATGGAATGTTTACTGGTATGTGCTGGCTGGTTTTGGAGTGAGGTAGCGGCAGGATGTAATGATCCATGTGTTTTGTTAAGTGGGAATAGAGGAGAATAAGAGCAGATTGTGTTATGTTGGTTGTAGTAAACTCTCTAGGTCTTAGGAATCCATAGAAAGCTATGTATATTGCTGCATTGGTGTCAAAAGGTTTTAAATCAAGCAGGTTAGACAATGCTTTGAAGATATGGTTGTCTATGGGTAGCCTCTGTGATGTACGTGTGGGTTCAGATTTCTGAATGCCTCTGAGTATGGTCTGCATCTGGTGAGAGGCCATGAAACTAGTGTTGTTAGTTTGTAAGATTAGCATATGGTGTTGAATGCCTGTGAGATAAAGTTTGATGGTGTTATATGACATTTTAAGTTTAAGGTGGCAAAAAGAAGCAAAACCCAAAAAGGATGTCATAACAAATGGTTGCATGATGTTATGTTCCAAAAGGAATCTTTTGAATAGTGTAAAAGCCCTGTCGTATGTTTTGTGTATATTCTTTGACAGTGCCAATTGGGACAGTGCCCTGCTATGATGCATGATGGTGTCTAGTCCAGTATTAGTTGTTGAAATGTTGGAGTGGTAGTGGCTGTGAGCGCAGCTGACGGGAGTGCTTGATGAAATGCCTAAAATTTAAAACGAGACAAACTGTCAGCAGCTGTGTTACATATTCCTGGAACATGGAAACAATATAGAAAGAAATTATGACAAGCTGCCAACCACGTGAGTTTCCTCAGAAATCTCATGATCGTAAGGGATTTGGAACGACCTTTGTTGATGATGTGACAGGTTGCCTGGTTTTCTGAGTAACAACGAACTGGCATATTTGTCCATAAATTACCCCATGCTACGGCAGCCGCCACAATGGAATAGATCTCAAAGAGAGCTGAGGTAGTGGAAAAACCTTCCAAATCCTGAACTGCTGTAGGCCAGCTGCCCCAAAGCCATTCGTTCCCAAAAATTGCTGCAAAACCTGTGGTAGATGCTGCATCTGACCAAATAGTAGGTGACGAGTCAGTCAATTGTGGGAGGAACATACTTTTACCATTCCAAGTGGTTAAAAATTCCTTCCACATGCGTAGGTCTGCCGTGGCTTGGTTATCTAAGGACAACCTGTGTGTGTCGTGTAGGAAGCGTGGAAAAAGATACAAGATTTGTGATATGAAGGAGCGGCCTTGAGGTATGATACGCATGGCAAAATTTAGTGACCCCAGCAGGGACTGTAGCTCTTTGCGGTTGCAAGTACCGAGCTGAAGGTAGTGGTTGATGTAAGTAAGAATGTTCTCTTTCTTGTCGTGTGGTAGGCTTGCTTGCATTGTGGTTGAGTCTAATTGAATACCCAGGAAAGTGATAATAGTGTCTGGCCCCTCCGTTTTTTTAGGGGAGATTGGTACACCTAGTTGCTCGAATAGCTTGGTGGTAGCTTTGAGGCTACTGGGAGGGGAAGTATTTTCCTCGACCAGTAAGAAGTCGTCCAGGTAATGTAATACCGTAGGGCATCTGGCTATGTTCAATAGTAACCAGCACAATGCTTCGGCAAATGTGTCAAAAATAGCTGGGCTACTTTTGGACCCAAAAGTTAAACGGGAGAAAAAAATAGTAGTTCCCGGCCCAATTGATTCCATGCAGGTGCCACAGTGTGGGGTGGGGTGGATTGGTAGCAATTTAAAGGCATTAGTAATATCGGTCTTACTAAGCCAGGCTCCAAACCCTGCTTGTATGATCGCTGTAATGGCGTGATCTATGGTGGTGTATTGCAGGGAGAATTCCTCGGAGGGTATGAGGGAATTAAGACTGGCTGATGAGTGTGGTGCAGACAAGTTAATGATGAGTCTCTGTTTAAGGGAAGATTTCCCTGTGACAATACCAATGGGGTTAGTACGCCATTCTTTGAATGGAGGAGCTTTGAAAGGCCCCAATACAAAACCCTCAGCAACTTCTTGGGCTATGAGAGTGTCAACAGCTGTGGGATTAGGGCATTCCAGAGTCCCGGATGGTATGTGTAGAATACCCGTGTGGAAGTCTTCTGTTAAACCAGAGATAAGAAAGTCCACCAAGTGTTTAGACGGGTGATGTGACATAAATGCAGTAAACACCGGCATATTAATGGACGTGAGGTAAGGCTTAGAATACATTTTATTTGGACACATGGTTTTTGCATGTGCCCTAAAACATTTTAAACAGATATGCAATAATCTGCACCCGCTATAATTACAAGACCCAACATGTATGGGCTGTAGAGGAGCAGTATGCACAAGCCGGTGTTCTCAGACCTGCAAAGTGTCTGCAAAATATGACGGTATCTATGCTTCCCCAGTTGGATCTTGTTCCATACTGGGCGAACGCTCCAGACACTTTTGCAGAAAAAGACCTATGGTAGTTATAAAAGGCTGAACCACCATATTTGTTGCCCAGGTCTACCAGCTTGTGCATATAAAGATCAAACTCCTCTCTTCTATTTGGGATAGACCGCACAGATGACATCCCGGTAAATACCAAAGGCCAGTACAAACTCGGGGATAGTTAGTTTCCTGTTTAGGCGGGCGTCCCTAGACCGGACAACAACAGACACATCATCATAAGCATAAGTCTTATTCTCCACAATATCCTGGGAGGCAATCAGCAGGGAAGCTAGGTTGACGTCTTTACCTTCCAGGATCTCTCTTTTTTTTATGTGCTCAGGGATCATATGAGCAGGGCTAACTTCCTGGTCATCCGAGGTGATGGTTGGAGGAACCAATAGCAAGTCGGCTGGTGCTTGTGAAGCAGCAGCGGGTGGCCCTGCTAGAGTAAGAGCCGTGGTGACCGACTCAAGTTTCTCCAACCTGGAGTTGACCTTGCTCATGGACGCCATGAGTGAGGTTAACATGGAATGTATGTCTCCTGGGTTGGACTGGCTAGGTCCTTCACCGGGATCCATGTTGTTATTTGAGGTACGTAGCAGTTTGAAAAGTTCTGCTTTCCTTGCTGTAGCGGGGTAGGAGATTTGCCGTCTCCTTAATTCGGTAGTTATACGAGGGATCGTCCAGGATCTGATCGATGCTGGACTATTTACCTCTCCTCCTTGTGTAGGAGTGATGGCTCTAGCTGGAGTGCTAGGCAGGGAGAAATCCTCTACCCCTTCCTGAGACATACTATAACCAAAACAATTAGTGTATGAAAAACCACCAAAATCGTACTGGCAGGCTACCTAAGCCGGATGGCGAAACATTACACTTGTTTGGTGACAGGTGAGGCCCTACTAGTTGCCAACTGGCTTGAGAGGCTCTATCTATGCGTTGGCTTGAGGGGATTTGAGGCCACCCGTCGTAGTGGCAGGAATTTTAGGCCTCTCGGTGACTGTAACATAGAAAACAGGGAAAGGGAGTGAAAGGTTAGGCCCTCTCTATGCAACATGCGAGGCGGCTAGCTAACGTGTGGCCCGATGGGTTTTTGTCTCTGAAACGTTGAGGCGGGGTGTTGGCCTCGTGGGACCACTAACTGATGGCAATGCCAAGAGGGGGTAAATACCTATTGGGAAACCTATGACCCTATTGCCAGTAGGGAGAAATGAAATGTATGGCAGAATACCATATGAGCAGGTGTACGTACCTGGTAGTATGAATATCTCACAGGAAACCGTGTGGTGAAATATCTATTTAAACCTGGACAGCCTGAAAATGGGTAAAAGAGAGTAGTATGGTGAGTATGGACTGTGTGGGAATGAAGTAGACTGTGTAGCCCGTACCAGTGATATTTTTTAAGGCTTGATTGGTGTATTACTTGGTAAATGAAGTGTAGTGATATACCATGAGAGTATACATGTGTTACTAAGGCAAAGTGATGCCGTGTCTTTAATGCACAGTTCTGTATAAAACAGTGGGCAACATATGATGGTGTCGAATAGAAGAACATGGATGAGGGAGGCCGTGGCCTATATTTAAACAGCGTTATGTATGATATGTAATAGAATAACAAAAAAGGGGCAGGGATACACAAAATGCCTTAAAGTGATGTAAAGTTTTATATGTTGAAAGGCCATTAGGCCTGAATTTGTGGGAGGAGTAAGTCCCCTACTTAAACACCCAGCCCCTACTCACCTCTGACGTTCGAGTTCAAGTGTTCCTTGTTCTACTTCCGGTTTGCGAATCTTCACGTTTGCGTCATTTCCGGTCTGGGCGTCTCGTGTATCAGCTGCACGGCTGAATCCTCAGTGCTACCGGCGGTCCTGCTGTACTCCCAGTGCCCGGCAGAACCCTCAGTGCTACCGGCGGTCCTGCTGTATCCCCAGTGCTACTGGCGGTCCGGCAGAACCCTCCGTGCTTTCGGCGGTCCTGCTTCCTAACCGTGAGTCCTCTCATTCCGGTCCCCTCCACATCGCTCTGTGGTTCAGCGGGGGGGCGGAACACTAATGACAGGGAAATCTTACCGGGGACCAACCACGTTCCCCTCACGCCAGCATCTACTCGGTCTCTTTCATACACCCGTCTGGGGGGTCCTACATCCCCCCCCACCCCCTCACAGTCTTAAAAATCCGGAAAACGTTATTTGATGCTAGGGGTATATATTTTATTCCAAACTCATGCTGTTATAAGAGGCTATGCTGTTTATTGTATGGGAAAGGAAGGCTTGCCAGTTTTTACCATATTATGCATGACATATGTATTACATGAACGTTCATTCCTACTTTTCCATATATTTTATGTATCAGTTCACAGATCTAGTTTTTTGGGCTGACATCGCCACCTAGTGGTTTTTATGGTACTTACTGTTTTATTCTGTATAATATGCAGCTTCCCTGCAATTAAATTACTATTTACACAATGTTACATCATGCCTTACACGTGCAAATTAATCTCAGCCCTGTAAAAAAAAAAAAAAAAAAATCAAAAAAAATTCTTTGATCTCCACAGATCGCACTTCGCCATATATTACGGCTAAATTCCAATAAAAAAACGGGGTTCTTATACTTAAATCCAGGTTCCATTCTACGCTAGCACCAACCGTTTCGCTCATTCTGTATTTCAAAACCCTGATGCTTGTCCTTTAATCCAGGTATAGTATTTATTTTACTTTATTTTCTGTTTGAGGAAACTCAGGCAGCCAACAATTTACATTTGTCAACTCACTCTGCGCTCATACGTTACGCCCACTCAGATTTACATCTATCTCAAACCCTTAGGTTCTACTACGATAGCATCAACAACTTGCCCTGTCTAAAATCGGAGTAAACCTTGCTCTTTGTACCTTATCCAGGTATAGTTTTTTCTTTAATCTTCAGTACGTTACTAGTTTCCCATGAAAAGGCAGCAGACAGCCTTCACAGTCCATTTTGCCACTCGTTTACCCGTCCATGCCCCCCATTAACTCATATTGCGCCCATTCGCCACGCTCACTCAGATCTACATCTGTCTCAAACCCCTTAGGCTTCTGCTACGA